CGTCTACAAATAAGGTCACCTTCTGAGGTAGAGGGGCAGCTGGTGCAGGTGTGAGTCGATTAACGTGCACGTCAGGGCTGCCTTGGAATTTTCTGTCTCTTTTTTTTTTTAACTTTTATTTAATGAATATAAATTTCCAAAGTACAGCTTATGGATTACAATGGCTTCCCCCCCATAACGTTCCTCCCACCTGCTACCCTCCCCTTTCCCACTCCCTCTCCCCTTCCATTCACATCAAGATTCATTTTCGATTCTCTTTATATACAGAAGATCAGTTTAGCATACATTAAGTAAAGATTTCAACAGTTTGCTCCCACACAGAAACCTAAAGTGAAAAATACTGTTTGTTTGAGTACCACTTATAGCATTAAATCTCAATGTACAGCACTAAGGACAAAGATCCTACATGAGGAGTAAGTGCACAGTGACTCCTGTTGTTGACTTAACAAATTGACACTCTTGTTTATGGCATCAGTAATCTCCCTATGCTCCAGTCATGAGCTGCCAAGGCTATGGAATCCCCCTGAGTTCACCGACTCTGATCATATTTAGACAAGGCCATGGTCAAAGAGGAAGTTCTCTCCTCCCTTCAGAGAAAGGTACCTCCTTCTTTGATGACCCGTTCTTTCCACTGGGATCTCACTCGCGGAGATCTTTCATTTAGGTTTTTTTTTTTTTTTTTTTCCCAGAGTGTCTTGGCTTTCCATGCCTGAAATACTCTCATGGACTTTTCAGCCGGATCCGCATGCCTTAAGGGCTGATTCTGAGGTCAGAGTGCTATTTAGGACATCTGCCATTCTATGGGTCTGCTGTGTATCCCCCTTCCCATGTTGGATCATTCTCTCCCTTTTTTATTCTATCAGCTAGTATTTGCAGACACTATTCTTGTTTATGTGATCCCTTTGGTTCTTAGTCCTATCATTATGATCAATTGTGAACAGAAATTGATCACTGGGACTAGTGAGATGGCATTGGTACATGCCACCTTGATGGGATTGAATTGGAATCCCCTGGTATGTTTCTAACTCTACTGTTTGAGGTAAGTCAGCTTGAGCATGTCCCAAATTGCACATCTCTTCCCTCTCTTATTCCCACTCTTATATTTAACAGTGATCACTTTTCAGTTAAGTTTCAGCACTTAAGAATAATTGTGTATTGATTACAGTGTTCAACCAAAAGTATTAAGTAGAACAAACAAACAAAATACTGAGAGGGATAACATATTAAGTTGCTCATCAACCGTCAGGGTGAGGGCTGATCAAGTCACCATTTCTCATAGTGTTCATTTCACTTTAACAGGTTTCCTTTTTGTGCTCAGTTAGTTGTCACCTATCAAGGAGAACAAGTTGTATTTGTCCCTTTGGAATTGGCTTATTTCACTCAGCATAATTGTCTCTTTTTTTAAAGATTCATTTCTTTATTTTAGAAAGTAGAGTGATGAGGGGGAGAGAGGAAGAGAGCATCTTCCGCCTGCTGGTTTATTCCCCAAACGGTCGCAACAACTGGAGCCGAACCAGAACGAAACCAGGAGCCTGAACCTGCATCCAGATCTCTCCCAGGAGTGTCAGGGGCCCACGCATGTGGGCCGTCCTCTGCTACTGCCCCACGCGCACTGGCAGGGAGCTGGATGGGAAGTGGAGCAGCCGGGACTCGAACCTGAGCTCCAACATGGGATGCCGGTGCCGCAGGTAGAGAATTAACCAAGTGAGCCACGGCGCCAGCCCCGGGAGCTTTCAAATGCAGGCACCAAGTGGGGCACACAGAAGGGGAGAAAGTGTGTGTTAATAGTCATTATTATCACTTTTTAATGTAAAAGCATTCTTCATTTATTCAGCTGCCTGCCACAGAAGAGGCTGTGGACACTTGCTGCCGAGGATAAAGGTGGGGGCGGGCCCAGCCTGGACCAGCCTGAAAAGGAAGGGGCTCCAAAACAGGAGTGGGCGGGGCGCTAAAGCACCCACGCTTGCCCTGCTAATTATCGCCTAACTCCCTCTCGCCCGGAATTTGGAGGCGTTCGTTGTTAAGCTTGTCCTGCCGTCTTGTCCTGCCCTGGAGCCCTCTGCTTTCGCAGGCGGCGGCGTCTCCTGCGTCTGCCCGAGGTGCTGAGAGCCCCCTTCCCACCGCCGGCCCAGCTGTCCTCGCTCTCCTGTGCTCTGGGACCCATGTGTCATCTGCTCCCCTCGAGGCGCAGGACCCCAGCCCCGTATTCAGGAGGAACAACCACCCGCTGAGAATGACCCCCCAAGAGTTTCTAGATCCCCCCCAGAAACAGCGCTGGGCCCCAGGCCAAGGTAGCCACCCCGGGCTCTCCTGCTTGCCCAGCTCAGTGTGCAGAGCCTTTGCGAAGCCTGAAATGAGAACATTGGCGCAGCCCCACTTCCCTTTCTCCTCGAAGTTGAACCACAACACAGCCAGTCGAAGCATCTGGGCTGGAGGAGGGAGGAGCCAGAACTCCGGGATGCCGCTTCCCTGGTGGCCAAACTCCGGCTGCTTGAGCCTCTGACGGATACTGAGCCAGGAGCACCTTAGTCTTTCCCCAGAGTCTTGTCAGCCACGTGGAGGCTGGGCTCTGCTTCTCGTCCTGAGCCGGTCCTAGGGCACCCGTCTATAAGAGGTGGGTAGCACGCACTCACAACGTTGTTATCTGTTAATTTTTAAAGATTGTTTGTTTAGGCCGGCGCCACGGCTCACTAGGCTAATCCTCTGCCTGTGGCGCCGGCACCCCGGGTTCTAGTCCCAGTTGGGGCACTGGATTCTGTCCCGATTGCCCCTCTTCCGGGCCAGCTCTCTGCTGTGGCCTGGGAGTGCAGTGGAGGATGGTCCAAGTCCTTGGGCCCTGCACCCCATGGGAGACCAGAAGAAGCACCTGGCTCCTGGCTTCGGATCAGCACAGTGCGCGGGCTGTAGCAGCCATTTGGGGGGTGAACCAACAGAAGGAAGACCTCTCTTTCTCTCTCTCTCTCTCTCTCTCTCTCACTGTCTAACTCCATCCACTGGTTCATTTCCCAGATGGCTGCAATAGCCAGGAGCTGGAACTTCGTGCTGATCTCCCGCATGGCTGCAGGGGCCCAAGCACTTGGGCCATCCTCCACTGCTTTCCCAGGCGCGTTAGCCAGGAGCTGCATCAGGAGCACGGCAGCCGGGACTCGAACTGGCGCTTGGATATGGGATGCTGGCATCGCAAGCAGCAACTTGACCGGCGGTGCCCCAACGCTGGGCGCCTGGCTGCGGTGTCAGATACGCGTGTGAAGCCCTAGGCACAGTGCAGCAGCCTGGTGGCTAAGATGCCTGTGTCATGCATTGGGGCCTCTGGGTAACAGGTTTGGAGGGTCCACTCCACGCTAACCTTAAAGCCCCCCAAGACTGTAAATAGTAAGGATTCTTGTCCCCTTCGAGTCTTGGTAAGTCACGGCCTCGGACAAGTTCAGACAGCCTGCCATTACATAACACTTTACGCCTTGTCGTCAACTTGTTCCCATACAGATCATGCAAAACAGGTGCCACAGAGCTTCCCTGGGAGGTGTGCAGATGGATGGCCAGCGGAATCCGAACTGGACAGAAAATGTCTGAATTTTCGTGGACCGATCGCCCAGATGGCATGAATTTGCTGCTCTGTTGTCTAGTTGTCTATAGAGTTTTCTATCGGGTGGCCCCTCTCTCTTCTAGAGAAGACCCCAGGGCAAGGAAAAGGAGGGAACGTGGTGGGCAATGCACAGACATCCTGGACCTGGTGTGGACGCCATCGCTGGAACCATCTCTCACTGGGGAGAGGGAGAGAGGGGGAGGGGGGAGAGGGGGAGAGGGCGGCACCAGGGCCAGCGCTGGGCTGCAAGGATGAAGCTGCTGCCTGTGGCACCAGCGTCCCCGTCAGAGCACCAGTTCCGGTCCAGCCAGGCCACTTCTTTTTTCCCCTAAAACTCACTTTACTTACTTGGAAGTGAGAGTTACCGAGAGGGAGAGAGTGAGAGAGCAAGAGGTCGTCCATCAGCTGGTTCACTCCCCTGATGGCCACAGTGGCCAGGGCTGGGCCAGGAGAAAGCCAGGAGCCAGGAGCTTCTTCTGGGTCTCTCACATGGGTGCAGGGGCCCAAGCAGTTGGGCCATCCTCTGCTGCTTTTCCCAGGCCATTAGTAGGGAGCTGGATTGGTAGTAGAGCAGCCAGGACTTGAACCGGTGCCCATATGGGATTTGCAGTCCCAGGCAGCAGCCTCACCCGCTATACCACAGCTTCAGCCCCTGATTTATTTATTGAAAGTCAGAGCCACAGAGAGAGAGAGGTCTTCCATCCTCTGCTAATCCCCAGATGGCTGCAATGGGTGGAGCTGTGCCAATCCGCAGCCAGGAGCCTCCTCCCAGTCTCCCATGCAGGTGCAGGGGCCAAGCACTCAGGCCATCTTCTACTGCCTTCCCAGGCCCCAGCAGAGAGCTGGATCAGAAGTGGAGCAGCTGGGACCCGAACCACCGCCTACACAGGATGGCGACACTGCAGGCAGTGACTACCTGCTATGCCACAGCGCCGCCCCCCCCATCCACTTTTGATCCAGCTCCCGCTGATGCCCCTGGGAAAGCAGCAGAGTGGCTTAAGTGCTTGGGCTCCTGCCACCCATGTAGGAGACCTGACAACTTTGGCCTGGATCAACCCCAGCTGTTGCAGGCATTTGGGGAATAAACCAGCAGATGAAAGATATCTCTCTCTCTCTCTCTCTCTCTCTGTCACTCTGCCTTTCAAGTAAAGAAAATAAATCTTTAAAAATAAAAAAGAAGCAATACATGAGAAACAGGGAAGTGGGGAAAGGAACGTGTGTGGAGGGCTGGGAAGCCACGGCCATGGATCAGAGTGGATACCGTCTCTGGTCTGTGGAATATGGGGCCCCGCTCCCGCGAGGCAGGGAAAGGGACAGGTGCTCCCTCTCCCAGTCCCATGGAAGCCAGGATTGCAGTGGTAAACACAACATTGCCACCCACGCTGACGCCAAGCACTTTGCATGGACAGAAAGCAACCAGGATGTCGTCCTGGTGGCCACAGCCCAGGCTCCAGGGGCAGCACGTGCTGTGTCAGCAATGGCAAGTTGGCAAGGCCCTCGCCTCCCCTACCCGTCCCTTTCCTGGGAGAACTCAGGCCAGGTTTAATGGGCAGCCTGGGGTCATCACTTGTGATCAGAGCGATGGCCTGGGTGCTGCTGCCCTACTCCCCCCCGGGGCGAGGCCGGTGTGTGCCGGGCCCAGGGTGCACTGATGTCTCTGCAACCCTCCATGTGGATCCACCTCCACAGGCACTGCCCAGGCGTCTCAGGTCACCCAACCGTGTGACCAGGAAGGAAAATGACTGACAGCCAGTGTCTCCGTCTGTTTGGGCCATTTTTTTTTATTAGACAGGCAGAGTTAGACAATGAGAGAGAGACAGAGAGAAGGTCTTCCTTCCATTGGTTCACCCCCTAAATGGCTGCCACGGCCGGAACTACACCCATCTGAAGCCAGGAGCCAGGTGCTGCCTCCTGGTCTCCCATGCGGGTGCAGGAGCCCAAACACTTGGGCCATCCTCCACTGCCTTCCTGGGCCACAGCAGAGAGCTGGACTGGAAGAGGAGCAACCGGGACCAGAACCCGGCGCCCATATAGGATGCCAGCGCTGCAGGCAGAGGATTAACCAAGTGAGCCACAGCGCCGGCCCCTGTTATGGCCATTTTAACAGAACACCATCGACAGGAAGAATTTGTTTCTCCCGGTCCCGGAAGCTGGCGAATCAAGACCCAGGAGCCGAGAGCCGCCCCGGGGGGCGGGAGGCACCACTTTTCTGAGGACACTTGCCCCAGTCCTGAGGCTCCCCTCTCCAACCTCGCCGGTTCCCCAAGGGCCCCCTCCTGATGCCATCTCGCTGCGGGGCACAAGCTTCCAGACCCGGCAGTCTGCAGGGCCCACCGGGGAGTGGGGAGGTGGGAGGGCGGCTGCAGTGGGGGTGGGGGTGAGGGTGGGGGTGGAGTGGCTGAGCAGCCCTCCTTCCTCTGGGGCAGTCCCCGGCCCGCCAGACCCACGGACAAGCACTGCAGCTTTTTCTACCTCGCACATCTGAACCAAGAGGGCTCCAGGCTGGAGTCAGCTGGGAAAAACCCTAGTCCTCAGTCTGCAGAGGCGAAAGGCAGGATTGCCGGGTGCTAAACACGCCCTTGTCTTGGCCTTGCTGGCTTCGTGGCCCCGTCACTGAGCCCGGACTCTCTGTCCTCGCCCCTTGGAAGGAGAGAGAGAGAGACAAAGTAGGCTCCCCCAACCCCTGCTCCTCCAACCGCTTTCAGGCAGAGTGGAGGAGCCTGGGAGACTTTCACCATCTCCGTTACACGCCCCTTCACTCTCAGTGCCTTAGGAGAGCTTTGAGCCTGCGAATCATTGCAAAGGCAAGAAACCAGTGTGAGTGCAACACTTGCAATTGGGCTTCCGAAACCCTGATCGCACAATCGGGGTGCAGCTCCCCAGGACAGCAGGGCAGAGCTTGTAGCTGCTGACAGTACTAGGGATGCTCCGGGTTTGAGTTCATTCAGTCTGCACGCTATCTTCTTTTTTTGTTGTTGTTGTTTTTTTTGTTTTGTTTTGTTTTGTTTTGTTTTGACAGGCAGAGTGGACAGTGAGAGAGAGAGACAGAGAGAAAGGTCTTCCTTTGCCGTTGGTTCACCCTCCAATGGCCGCCACGGCCGGCGCGCTGCGGCTGCCGCACCGCGCTGATCCGACGGCAGGAGCCAGGAGCCAGGTGCTTTTCCTGGTCTCCCACGGGGTGCAGGGCCCAAGCACCTGGGCCATCCTCCACTGCACTCCTGGGCCACAGCAGAGAGCTGGCCTGGAAGAGGGGCAACCGGGACAGAATCCGGCGCCCCGACTGGGACTAGAACCCGGTGTGCCGGCGCCGCTAGGCGGAGGATTAGCCTAGTGAGCCGCGGCGCCGGCCAAGTCTGCACGCTATCTTCTAAAAACCCAACACAAATTCCTCTGCGTGAACATTGCTTCCCCGAGCCCTGAAAAATTCCGGTCACGTCCTCTGAACCCAGAGAACACGGTGTGGTGCGAGTGGACGCAGTGTCCCCGTGTTGTTCTGCAGCCAACTTATCTACCACGGAAAACCTCTCTCCCATTTTCTATGTCACCTGTGATGTACCGAAAACAGAATTTGTCAACCTCGTGCCAAGCTCATTCGTCAGGTTAGAGGCGGGACGCCTGCTGGTCCTATTGCAAAGTGAGATCCGCTGGGACATAATGCGCGTGTGCCACCGCTGAGGCCAGGATTGTCCAGTGCGTGTGCTGCGGACGCCTTGAGGAAAATTCTGGAAAAGCAGTTCCTGAAACATGCCGGGTTAGAGGCAGCGAAGTCGCACAGCCAAGTCTGGCTGCTGCCTGGCTCTGTGCAGCTTGGAAGCCGGCTCTGCTTCACACGTTTAAATGGCTAAAGGAAAGAACATTTTATGACATGCGAAAATTATATGCAATTCAGTGAGTAAGGCCTGGCCGGCGCACAGCCGTCTGCCTTCATCCGGGTACCGCGTGTGGCTGGGTCTCGCAGCAGCCGCCGAGCTGGGTGACGGTGACGCAGGCCGTGTGGCCCGCAGCACTGAGAAGGGCCTCGTGTTTGCCGGGTGCCTACACGCCGCTTGCTGGAGGGGTGCAGGGAGCTGTCTCCCTTCCTTCTACCACCAGCCTTGCTTGGTGCTGATCGCTGGGCCCGGGGCTGACATGCACCCCGGGAACACGCCTCCTTGCACGCATGATCATTACGTCATCACGGTGAGATGAATGTGACATAAAGGCTATGGTCTTAACCATTCTAAGTGTACGGTGCAGTAGGGTGAACCCCAGGCACGTCGCTGTGCAAACATCCGTGGAACTTGCCGTCTCCCCAGACAGAAACTCTGTACCCAGGGAACACCTGGTCCCCCTCCCGGTCCCCACCCCCTGCCAGCCACTCGTCTACTTCTGGTCGACTCCACGCACCTCATGCTCCTGGAGCCAGACAGTACTTGTCCTTTTGCACCTGGTTTATTTGAATTTGCTTGATATCCTCCAGGAATAATTGAAAAGTTATGTTTTAGTTATTTGAGACAGAGAGGGACAGCGAGAGCTCCCATCCTCTGATCCATCCCACAAACGCCCACAAACACTGGGGCCAAACCAGGAGCCAGGAGCTCAACCCAGCCTCCTCCATGGGTGGCGGGGATCCAGTGAGCGGAGCCACTATGGCCGCCCCCTGGAGTCTGCATTGTCAGGAAGCTGGAGCCGGGAGCTGGGGTTGGCAGCAAAGGCGGGGGCTCTGCCGCGGGACGCGGGCGTCCTAACTGCCAGGCCGAAAACCCGCTCGGCAGAACTCGCTTCTGGCTGACACTCCACAGTTTCCACCCGCGTTGTTTGGCACAGCTCCTTTGGTTTTTTTTTTTAATATTTATTTCCTATTTTTGAAAGGCAGAGACAAAGAGAAACCTCCCATCTGCTGCTTCCTTCACTCCCCAGATGTCATAACAGCCAGGACCAGGCCAGGCTAAGCCAGGAGGCCTTCAGTCCGGCTCTCCCAAGCGAATGGCAGGGCCCCAGCCCTTCCAGGGTTTCCATTAGCAAGAAGCTGGAACCTGAAATGGAGCAGGGACCCGAACCCAGGCACTCAGGTTTAGGACGCAGGCGTAACAGGTGCACCACACGCCCACCCCTGTGGGGGCCACTTTTGTCACATGGCAGCAGACGCTGTGGGCCACCCTGAAGCCACCCTGAGGTCACCGCAGGCGACCACTACTGCCCAAAGCTCTCTGTGTGCTCTGCCTTAAGGTGCCCGGCCTGAAAGGGCTGGAAGCTAACGCCAAGGGGGTGACCCCTCCCGGGGAGGAGTGGGAGGCAAGGGCGCTGCTGGGGTGGGCGCCGCTGGGGGCGCCCGAGCTCCTCTGCTCCCCGCTGTGGGCTTCCTGCCTTGCGGGTGCCGGCACTCTGCCCCCTCCCATTCTCCCCGAGACGCCCAGAGAAAGGACTCGCACCAAAGCCTGGTCTCGGGACCTGCAACGGAGTCTCCAGTCACACAGGTATGGAGGGGAGCCGAGGCTGCTGCGTGGACGGTCAGGCGGCCACTCCTGCCTCCCGCTGTTCCCCCAGGACGGGCTCTGCCGTTCCAGCCTAGGGCTGGCGAGAGGCACCGTGGAGGGATGTTAGTGCAACTCGCCTTCCCTCCAGGAATCCAGCGGGGGAGGGGACAGGTGGGTGACCTCAGACTGCTCTGCACAACCACCCGCTCCCAGCAGCGTCCGCTGATGCGCCAGGATGGCCAGGATCAGTAAATTCAGGAGTTACGGGACGTGGAGGCTGGGGGAGCTGGCAATCCAACGAGTGTTGCCTACCTGGGTGATTAGCAGAGTCCGAAACCTAGCCCACCGCCTTTGGGGGCAATGCATCCACGAACATTGCTGGAGATGACCTGCCAGCCCGAAACTAAGGCCTCACGTAGAGCGGGCGTTCCTGGGAGCGGCATCCTACAAGCCTCGGCACCTTCAGCTCAGAACGCCTCATCCGTGCCTCGCGCTTGTCTCCTGCATTTGGAATCGTTCGCTTTGCGCCGGGTGATTTCGCTAATTCACTTTGAATCCGCTTTGACAACCGCCCTGTGTGTTGTTGTCCACATGTGCACATTTAAAACAGGGAGAGCGAGAGGGCTCCTTATCCGTGCGTGAGCGGCTTCGGCAAATGGGATCTTAGTAAAGTGAGGTCCAAAGTCTCGTCATAAATCCTGAAAAAAAAGTGAAACTGAGATGGTGGAAAAAGTTCTTGTTCTTTGGCCTTAACCAAAGCTGGTTGTAATTTTAACCCCATGAGAACTCGAGACTTGGTTTTTGGCTTCTTGGATGAGCCTCCTTCTCGGGCATTTCTTCTCCGAACAGTCACCGTTGTCCTGGGAAATCCCAGGGACCTGGTAGGGTGACTGAGCCTGCCCCCAGCCATGTTCAAGTGCGGGAAGGAATTGCGAATTTTCTATTCCAGGTCATCGCCTTCTTACTAGAAAAGCATTCTAAGCACGGGCACATAGGAGGTGCGCAAAGTGACAGAGTGCATTTGAAAGGTGAGAAAGTGAACACGCACACACGAGCGCAGGTGAGGAGAAGTGGGGTGGAGAGCAGACGTGGGGAGAAGGCACCTGCTCAGCAGAGAGAAAGGGTCTGCCCAGGAAGGGGCAGTTTGATTGACAAGTAGGTGGGTGGTGGCTTGCGGGTACCTCCGGCTCCAAGCTGCCCAGCTCCTGCCTTATCCCAGAGCACTGTGGGTGCTCCATCTTGCTGGACTGCCCAGCCCACCCCAGGGACGCTGTCAGGGCTGCCGTGGTCAACATGAATGTAGCTGCGCAGGGATCCCAGCAAGTGACGGGCGCAACTCGCCCCGCAGCTTTGAGCGATGGAAATACCTTGTCGATGTTGCTTTTTCTTTTTTTTTCAGTAGCACAAAATGAGCTTTTATTTAGATTGGCTTGCGATGACACACAAGGGGGAGACCCTGTATCAGGAGACGTCTCAGAGGTGGGGCAAAGAGCTGCAAACCAGACAGCAAAGACAGCAAGGAAACCCGCAGGGGCGAGGGTGGTGGGCGCGGCCCCGGGGGTGGCTGGGAGACTCAGCTCAGCAGCGCAGCCTGGAGGCCGCAGGTGGAAGAACGCTGACGGGCCACCCTGCCTTGGGCCTTTGGTAGCTGCAGTGTCTTATTGCTTGCTGACAAACGTTGGGTGCGATTTTTCTGGGTGTGTAAAGCAAAAAGGCCCCAACTTGCTAATAATTAAAGTTATCAGAGATATATTGAAAGCCATGACGTGCTTGGCACTGCTTGACTTCCGAGCCAACTGTCTCAGAGTCCGAATGAACAGCAACGTGAAGGCCAACGCGGGGCCCATCTGTGGCCAGCAACGTGAAGGCCAACGCGGGGCCCATCTGTGGCAGCAGGAAGTGGAGCTGCAGGAACATTGTCTTCAATGGATCACCCAATGCGTTTTGTGTGGAAAATCCTAACGGCTCACTAATATTTATATAAGTCAACTTTGAAAGGTAAGAAAAGAAACATATATGGTTTTGGTGATGTCTGTCCTAATGTTTGACATGGAAACAAAATTTGACCTTGGGGCCAGCACTGTGGCATGCTGGGCTAGGCCTCCACCTGCAGTGCCGGCATCCCACATGGGCACTGGTTTGTGTCCCGGCTGCTCCTCTTCCGACCCAGCTGGCCTGGGAAAGCAGTGGAAGATGGCCCAAGTGCTTGGGCCCCTGTACCCACGTGGGAGACCCAGAAGAAGCTCCTGGCTCCTGGCTTCAGATCAACCCAGCTCTGGCCACCACCCTTTTTCTCTGCCCCACCCCCTCCATGTGTGTGTCACTCTGCTTCTCAAAGAAATAAATAATTTTTAAAAAAAATTAACCTTGGGCCGGCGCCGTGGCTCAATAGGCTAATCCTCCACCTTGCGGCGCCGGCACACCGGGTTCTAGTCCCGGTTGGGGTGCCGGATTCTGTCCCGGTTGCCCCTCTTCCAGGCCAGCTCTCTGCTGTGGCCAGGGAGTGCAGTGGAGGATGGCCCAGGTGCTTGGGCCCTGCACCCCATGGGAGACCAGGAAAAGCACCTGGATCCTGGCTCCTGCCATCGGATCAGCGCGGTGCGCCGGCTGCAGCGGCGGCCATTGGAGGGTGAACCAACGGCAAAGGAAGACCTTTCTCTCTCTGTCTCTCTCTTCACTGTCCACTCTGCCTGTCAAAAATAAAAAAAAAAATAAAAAAAAATTAACCTTGATGTATGAAAGTTATATTACTGATCCATTACTTAACTTTCTCATCTGGAGTAGAAATGAGGGCCTGTAAGAAATCCATATATTCTGGGTCCAGCGCTGTGGTGTAGTGGGTAAAGCTACCACCTGCAGTGCCGGCATCCCATATGGGTGCCAGTTTGAGTCCTGGCTGTTCCACTTCCAATTCAGCTCCAGCTGTGGCCTGGGAAAGCAGTAGAAGATGGCCCGAGTGCTTGGGCCCCTGCACCCACGTGGGAGACCCGGAAGAAGCTCCTGGCTCCTGGCTTCCGGCTCAGCTCCAGCCTTTATGGCCAGCTGGGGAGTGAACCAGCAGATGGAAGACCTCTCTCTCTCTCTCTCTCTCTCCTTTCTCTCTCCCTCTCTCTGCCTCTCCTTTTCTCTCTGTGTGACTCTGACTTTCAAGTAAATAAATAAATCTTTTAAAAAAGAAATCCATATATTCTAAGTCTTTGGAAGGAATTCACTGGGCTGATGGAATGGTTTGTCAGTTTAATAGTTCAGTCAGGGCCAGTGTGTGTGTGCAGGTACTGAACCATATTACAAGTATATTTGCCAACTATTGTGTCATTCAGTAATGTATACTGTATACTGAAACTACTTTTGGCTCTAGGCTGAGTCTCAACTAAACAGATTCATTTTATTTATTTATTTTACTTTAAATTCAGAGTGACAGAGAGAGAGAGAGAGAGAGAGAGAGGAGAGAGGTCTGTCATCTGATTTGCTCCCCAAATGGCCACAATGACTGGGGCAGGGCCAGGCTGATGCCAGGAGCCCAGAACTCCCTCTGGGCTCCCACATGGCTGCAGGGGTCCAAGCACTGGGGCCGTCTTCCTCTGCTTTCCCAGGTGCATTAGCAGGGAGATGGGCCAGAAGCAGAGCAGCCGGACTCACACTTGTGTTCCGATGGTAGAAGCCGGTGCTTAGCCCTCTGTACCACAAAGCTGGCCTGGGAACCAATTTTCAAAGTGATGTGTATTTGTTAATTAGTGCTTCGATATCATGGAAATGTCTTCCCCATACAACCGTGTAATGTTAGAGAGTCAGACGCTGGCTACAAAGAGGAAATACAACATGAGCACTAGGCCTGGTGGTTCAGCCGCTGCTGGTTAGGGCCCCCACGTTCACATCGGAGGGCCTGTGTGCGACTCCTGGCCCCAGCTCCTGACTCCAGCCTCCTGCTAACACAGATCCTGGGAGGCAGTGGCTCCCTGACACCCACATGCGAGACCTGGACTGGTCTCTGGTTCCAGGCTTCAGCCTGGAATCCCTGGCCCCTGTCTCTTTCTCTCCCTCTCCCCGTCTCAAATTAATACGTGGAGCCAAAGGACCAAGAACCTCATCGCTCCCACTTCCTCCTTTCTTCACCCCCACTGCCCACTCCCCACCCAGCCTCAGCAGCCTGGACACCCGCGTATCCTGTCCTCTATGAGAACAAACACGGAAAAATCACATAGGATTTGCTGTGTTACCCGCCGCACCTACGGTTCACGTACAGTTTTAGAAGGGGTCGAGTAAAAAGGCGAAGTTTAACCCAAAGGAATTATTTTTCTGGTAAAATTGCAGGGGCCCCAAGTCATGTCCCATAGGCTCCTGAAACAACCCCCCGGAGGCAGCTGACTGCGGCAGCCCCACCTCCGCTGGGCACGGGGGTGGGACGCACTGTGGCTCAGCGCATACGGTGTGGCCTGCAGAGGAACCACAACCCGGGTCAGCGCAGCCTCGTCTAGGCCAGTGATGCTGTCCACCACCCCTCGCCCTCCTGCCTCCGGGAAGTCCGTGCTCGCTCGGCCTGGACTGACGCTGATGGTACAGGATTGGCTGGGGTGGGGGAAGGGCGGCTGGGGAAGTGGGCTGCACTGGGCAGGCCGTGAGGCAGCTGGAGTGGGCTAGCCAGGAGAACAGGAAGTCCCCCTGAGTACAGAGGAGAGACACTGCCGTGTGGAGCGACACAGCAGGAGAAAGGGTAGGAGAGAGGGGCAGGCAGTGGCCACCCAGGGACTCAGTCATCGGCGGGCTCTCCCGAGCCAAAGGGGACTTGCTGGATTAGAAAGGCAAACGCGGTCTGTGCACAGGGGATGGCATAGCTTGGGTGACGGGGGCCCAGGGTGTCCTTCGCTGAAAAAGGGCAGTGGTGGGGGAATGAACAGGTCGCACTGGAAGCACTTGCAGGCAGTAGGGCAAAAGTGTCACTTGGGGATTGGAGCCCAGCAAGTAGTTCTGCCCCAGACATGTAGACTTGAGGCTGGCGCCGAGCTGCAGGCAGCTATGCACACCCCGGGGAGGGTTCTCGGAGAGCAGAGGCCGGCCACTGGGTCACGGAAGAGACGGCCCTTTTCTCTCTCTCTCTCTCTTTTTTTTTTTTTTTTGACAGGCAGAGTGGACAGTGAGAGAGAGAGAGAGACAGAGAGAAAGGTCTTCCTTTGCCGTTGGTTCACCCTCCAATGGCCGCTGCGGCCAGCGCACCACACTGATCCAATGTCAGGAGCCAGGTGCTTCTCCTGGTCTCCCATGGGGTGCAGGGCCCAAGCACTTGGGCCATCCTCCACTGCACTCCCTGGCCACAGCAGAGAGCTGGCCTGGAAGAGGGGCAACCGGGACAGAATCCGGCACCCCGACCGGGACTAGAACCCAGTGTGCCGGCGCCGCAAGGCGGAGGATTAGCCTAGTGAGCCGCGGCACTGGCCACCCTTTGTGGGTGGAGGAGAAGGGATTCCAAACTGTACCCGAGGATATCCCGGGATCTAACACAAGAGCTAGAGGAGAAGCAGCAAACTAGAATCTAAGGAAAGAGCTACTTTGCGAGAAGAATATGGACAACTGTGTCTAATGCCACAAAAGACATAGATAGAAAAAGATTAGATTAAAAAATCTATTCCTATTTATTTGAAAGGTGGAGAGACAGACAGCTCCTATCCTCTGATTGATTCCCTTAATGTCCACAACAGCTGGGGGCTGGGAACTGGGGACTCCATCCAGGTCTCCCACCTGTCCATCACAGCTACCTCTCTGCACTTGCGGGAAGCTGGGGTCAGGCATTGAACCCCAATATCTGGAGGTGGGACACAGGTGTCGTGACAGCTGGCCAAAGGTCCACCCTCCACTCATCAGCTTTGACAGAGTGGAAGGCACTGGTATTTCTAATCAGGCCAGTTTCAGCAGGACGATCCCGCGGCAAATCAGCGGACAGGATGGTGAGCGTTGAACTGCGATGGAGCAAGGCCGGCCCGCGCAGTGGGGCCTTTCTAGGACGTTGTCTGGGTGGGAGGGAGAGAGGTGGGGCCGGAGGCGAGCAGGACCACAGGAGCAGGGAACGGCTTTTGGTCTTGATTGTTTGCTTTAGTGAGATGGTTTCCACGTGGAGCAGACACAGCCCGGAGAGCAGAGCACACGGCGAGCAAGCGCTCTGCTGGGTGCTGAGGCCACAGCACGGAGCAGAGCTGAGCCCCTGTCCCCAGGGAGCTTGTGCCCCAGCGGAAGAGATGAAGGATGAGCGTGTGGACACTCCACCACTGGGTGCGTATCCAGGGAAACCAGTCCAGCAGAGAGACAGCGCCTGGGAAAGCGACAGAGAATGGCCCAAGTGGTTAGGTCCCTGCCACCCACATGGGAGACCCAGAGGGAGTTCCTGGCTTCTGGCTGTCTCCTAACCAGCCCTGGCCATTATGACCACTTGGGGGACGAACCAGTGCATGGGAGATCTCTCTCTCTCTCTCTCCCCTCTCTCTCTCCTCTCTCTTTCTTTCTCTGTCACTCTGACTTTCAAATAAATAAGCATTTTTAAAAAGAAATAAAACAAAACAAAAAGACGTCGGTTGGTTGTGCAGGAGCCAGGCCCATTCTGGGAGGCTGGTGGGTGGAGGGGGACATCTGATGGGGGGAGGGGGCTGTGGCCTGGGGTCCCTATGGATGGTGGGCGTCTGCGAGGGGCGTTGCCTCAGGATGGTGGTGTAAAATGCAAGCTCTGAGGAGGTGGCCGTGGGGACCTGTGGGATGAGCACCAGACAGAGTCTGAGGAGAGAGCTGTCCAAGGTGGATGAAGATGGCCCCGAGGGCCGGGCCCTCCCAGCTCCGTGCATGGTGGGAGCCACTGTCTGGCCAGCGCCCGGCCTGCACTGGAGCCAGCTGGCCCCGGAGGGCAGGACACAACAGGGGGCGAAGGAGCAGAGGACCGTGGTTAGAGGGCGACCAGACCAGGACCGCCAGAGGACAGAGACCAGGAGGAGGCTCATTGACGGAGCGAGCCCAACAGACGGGGCGGGAGGTCTGCGTGCCGCAGCGGTTGGGTCAGTGGGAGTGGGAAAACGAGGGGCGTGAAGGTCAGGAGGCCACAGTTGGGCAGCGGGACCGTGGGGCTGGAGCTTCCAGAAGAGATGGGCATGGAGTCGCCCCAAGACCCAGGGCTCCATCAAGGAGGCAGGGACTGGAGCACTCGAGTTGACTGCAAGAGGGCGGGGATGAGAGACGACGGCGGCCCCCGAGCGGCCCAGGGTGAGGGCGAGTGTGGCGTGGAGTCCGTGGAGCCCAGGTTCCAGGAACCGGAAAGGGTGTGGGGCCAGGAGACCAGAGACCACAGCAGGGGTGGGGGGTGTTGGTCACTCAGGACAACCGCGTGTCCTGGGGCCATTTCTCCAGCCAACCAGCAGAGGGCACAGCCACTGGACTTGCCCTGTCCCTTCCTACCCTCAAGCCCCACCTCCCTGGAATCCTCCGCCCTCCCTCCTTAGGTCTTTTTTGTTTTTAAATATTTATTTATTTGAAAGGCAGAGTGAGAGAAAAGGTTGGGGTAGGAGAGACAGATAGACACAGGGAGATCTTCCATTTGCTGGTTCACTCCCCAAATGGCCACAATGGCCAGGGCTGGGACTCGCTGAAGCCAGGGGCCCAAAGCTCCATCCAGGACTCACATCTCATAGCCACTCAAGCACTTGGGCCATCTTCTGCTGCCTTCCCAGGTGCACTAGCGAGGAGCGGGATTGGAAGTGGAGCAGCCGGGACTTGAACCAGCACTCATGTGGGAAACCACAGGTGGTGGCTTAACCCACTGCGCCACAATGCCGGCCCCTAGTGTTTGAAATCCTACCTGCCTTCAGGCACCCGAGAGCACGTCCACGAACAAGTCTGCGTGCGGCAGAGGCGGTGGCTTCCTGTGCGTCTCTGTCTCCCCTGACCGGGTTGGGGGTCCTTCTGGTCTCTGCTTGCCTTGTCCACGGCAGCACGTCTTGCAGACAAGGTCGTGTGGGTATCAGGAACGCTACAGGCCCTGCCAGCCCTCACCTCGCCAGCCCCAGAGGACTCTCAGGAAAGCACCGGTGATCCGCCACGACGTGGGCAAACTGTCCAAATGCCCAGAGGGTGTCCACTCCCTACTCTTCTCTCCACCTTTGCAAATGCACTTGACTCTTCTTGTCGTTTTAACTTGATTGTTCACTCGGGAACGAGCGTAGGGAAGAGACTGGGGATTCGGTTGTACAGCACGGCCAGACTCTGGGCCCTGCCTCCTCGCAAGGAGTTGTTACTCTCTCAAAGGCCGGCATGACTTTTATGTCCGTCCTCAATTTCCCCACCTTAACTGCAGGAAGGTGCTAAATGTGGCTTCGCCCACTGCTTCCCCTGGGCACAAGCTCCTTGTAGCTGTTAGTCTTTGCCTGCTCGAGTCCCTGTTCTCCTCGGGATGGGAGCAAGTGGGTCCCCTCCCGCCAACCCGAGCGCAGCGCGCACGGGGCGGGGCGCGGGGCGGGGGGAGTCGTTCTGATCTCCGGGCAGAGTTCTGTTCTTTCCCGATGGGGGTGCTCCGTTTTCAACCAAAAACAGAATCGCTGTAAATGTCACCGCCCCACACCCCATCTGGGCTCCGAACGCAAGCTGCCTTGTTTTCAAATCATATGTCGTCACCCGCCAAGGAGCGGAGCGAGGCTGGCAGCGGGGCCGGCTCAGCGGGAGGCTTGCGCACTTCCCCCATCTCCCCATCTCCCTTGGTTACAGTCACTTCCCTGAGAAAGGAAGAAGAGGCAGGAGCGGCTGCCACGGGGAGCCTTCTCGCCGCTGCTCTGGTCCTCTCGGAGAACACGGTGAAGCACGAGTGGGCTCACGCGTGGCCTTGAACATTTCACGCTCTGCAGAATCCCACGAGGCACGGCCATTCTGTGGGTCCCCTAGAGAGGGCAGAAGGGCATGGACTGGGCAGTGCAGACCACAGGGCAAGACCGGTTCACAGCTGAAACCCGGACAGGGCAGGTGAGGAGGAGGCAGAGCCCAGCCAGGCAAGCGCTGGGGAGCGAAGAATCGGGGTAACATCCTGCTCGCGAGCCCCTCCCGCTCAGCCCCTTCCAGGAGTGACAGAGAGGAATGTCTCAGGAAAAGGAGGCGTGGAGGCGCGCACCTGCCCCAACCTAACCCACTTCACGGACGGTGGGGGTCTCCACGCGCCCATCACCTGCACGCCTCTGTGAGTTAAGTTCCATGCGTGGAATGAGTATGCAGAGGCTCTCCCAACACGCACTTCCGCACCGCAGAGGGAGGGGAAGGCGCACGCAGCTCCGGCAGCGGGGCCGAGTTTGTCTTGACAGCCTGAGATGCTGAGGTGCCACGCCACGGGGCGCGCTCGTGCTGCCAGCGAGAGGAGGGCGCCCCTCGATTTATATTCAACATTGGAAAGCGCAGAACAATGTTTGCACATGACAGAGCTGTGTGTGCGTGTGCGTGTGCATGTGCTTTACAAACCAGGAAGCTGTGTTTTGTCTTCATTTAAAGCAGCCAGGAGGGGCTGGAGCTGATTGAGCGCGGACACTGTGCCAGCCTCCTCTTCCCCGTCCTCACAGCCTCATGACAGTCCTAGGGGGCACCAATGAGCCCTGGCACCTCTCGCCTGAGGTCACACAGACAGCAAGGAACGGGGTCTCCCCGACTCAGACCCTTGTCCCTCCCAGCTCCTTGTTCTGCATCCTCAAGGTCCAGCAAACCCGTCCGCAACGTGTTCCTGTGCCCAGCCGTCCCCCTGCCGGCCGGAGCGGTTTCTGTGGTTCGTGGTAAGACGTCGCCAGAAGAGCTGAGAACACAAAGCGCCCGGCCAAGTCCGGACCCGACAGAGGTTCGACACGTGTGTAGGCATTTCCAGAAGGGGCAACCCGGGAGCGCTCCCATCGGTAGTCAGCGTCTCACGGGTACAGTATAGAACAATCTCATGGTTAATTACCAAGTCATGCATTTGGTACCGCATTTAGGAGGCCCTCGGATCATGCTCCAAGGAGATCGACAGATTATCCGTGGCCCACAGCTCTCCCCGCAGGCCTACACCACGGTTTCCACGGACACGGCATTGCCCCGGTCCTCCTGGCGCCTGGGTTGCATCTCGTCTTTGAAGGCCCTGGTCAGAACAACTTTTAAGGACTCCTTGAACCGCTTCTTCTTGCTGCTGCCCACGAAGAAGTAGATGAACGGGTTGGCACTGCTGTTGATTGTGGAGAACAGGAGAGAAACGTTGTGCAGCGTCCCGAACGTGGACCAGTACTCGTAGTAGAGCAGGTACAGGAGTCTCATGGGCATGGCGAAAATGAGGAAGATGATGATGGTGACCATGATGACGATGTACAGCTTCGAGGAGTGGGACGCCCACGTGTTCTTCCGGATCTTCACCACCAGGACGGTGCTGGACACCAGCATGAGTGGAGTGAACACCAGGAAGCTCAGGACGGCTATGAAGATGATGACCGCCCGGCAGTGGCTGCGGGAGTGGCTCTCTTCCGCCGTGTCTATGCACATGACGTACTCCATGGTGGTCACCAAGCAAGACAGCGCCCACAGCAGGGCACAGACAAACGCCGACTGGTGCTTGGGCCGGTGGCATCGGTACCAGATGGGGTAGAGGACCGACAGGCACCTCTCCACGCTGATGGCCGTCAGCAGGTAGAGGCCTGTGTTGTAGCCAAAGAGGAAAGTGACCGACAGCGTGACGATGGTGTAGTGGTGCCCCGAGGAGAGCTCGTAGTCCAGGGCGTAGTCTATGGACAGAATGAAGATACAGAAGAGTAGGGAGATGTCGGCGATGGACAGGTGGGTGATGTACACGGTGAAGGGGTTCTTCCGCATCCGGAAGCAGAGGAACCAGAGCAGGATCCCGTTCTCCACAAACCCCAGCGGGGAGACGCTCATGATGACCCAGTGCACGGCCGGGATGTGCGGGCGGGGGGGCTCGCCGGAGCCGTTCCCGCGGGCGGAGGCGTTCAGGGACCCCTCGGCCACCGAGGGGGTCGGGTTTGTCTCCTCCATGAGGAAGCCTGGGCAGGGGGCTCTTCAGGCACCTTTCTGTAGATAAGACAGACAGACAATGAAGTCAGGAAAATGGATGGATTGGAACGAAAAGCTGAGATTCAGCTATGGTTCGCAACCTTTTAAAACCTTTTAAAAAATATGCTGAATGGACTCTACGGGGTGAACCTTTGGTGAATGGTTGACGCCGTGCCCACACGCAGGTCAGAGCGCCCGGGGTTGGTGTCCCAGCTCCTGCGAAGTGTACACTGTGGCAAGCAGCAGGGGGTGGCTCAAGGTCTCAGGCCCCTGTCACCGGTGTGGGAGACCCAGGTGGCGTGTGGGGCCTCTGGCTTCAGCCCGGCCCGGCCCTGACTATTTGCAGGCATTTGGGATGTGAACCCGTGGGTAGAAGAACTCTCTCTCTCTCTCTCTCTATTATCTCCCTGTCCGTCTCTATGCCTTTCAGATAAACAAATAAAAAAATTAAAAATAGACTATACACGGCTCTCTAACAATGGTAAAATTAGCTATCTCACCAAGAGAGAAGGAACTGAACCACATCTGCCTCCCAGGATCCTTTGTTCCGTGTTGCAACCCACTGCGCTCAGTGCTGAGGTGGACGCGGTGGGCGAGAGGGGCGGAACCCTGACATCTTGAAAATCACCCCCTCCCCCTTCTCTGCCTCTGCTTTCCTGCCAGAGGGACTGGGCTGTTTGCATTAAAACCCCGTGACAAAGGACGCATCTGGGCAACGTGGCTCTTGTCATTTTTCCATGCACAAAGTGACCTATGCAGTGGTGAGCAGGCGGGAGTGCCAAGGGGAACTGTGGTTAACAGCACGCCAAGGTTTTACACGGCGGCCACCACGAAGTGGCACTTGTTTTACTCGGTCTCAGCACCCACCACAAAGCCATGCACCTGCTCAGACCAGGCGTGCCTGGATGCGCTCACCAGCCCTTGGCATGGAGGATGGTGAGCCTCCCGGGAGGTGTGGCCCTGCCCGAGCCCCACAGGCCGGCCCGGGGGGAAGCACCTGGCAGACACTCAGCAGGACCGAGTCCCAAGACAAGGAAAACGGTAAATGTTTGAGGCTGTAACACGAAGAGCCCGAAAGTTCCCTTCACACCAGCTAATTGCAGAATGAAGCCCTGCACAGCCCTCGCCTCTGCTGCGACGAAATGAAGGCAGCGACTTCAGAGGCTCGTGGAAACAGGGGCTGAGGAAATCCAGGCTTGCACTTTGCTTCTCTTTTTTGCACAAAAATAAACTTATCTTTTTTAACATTTATTTTATTCATTTGAAAGAAAGAGTTACAGAGGAAGACAGAGGTCTTCCATCTGCTGGTTCACTCCCCAGATGGCCACAACGGCCAGAGCTGGGCCAGTCCAAAGCCAGGAGCCAGGAGCTTCTTCCGGGTCTCCCACGTGGGTGCAGGGGCCCAAGGACTTGGACCGTCTTCTACTGCTTTCCCAGCCCATAGCAGGGAGCTGGATCGGAAGTGGAGCAGCCGGGACTAGAACCAGCGCCCACATGGGATGCCGGTGCTTCAGGCCAGGGCTTTAATCTGCTGTGCTACAGCGCCAGCCCCAAATAGACTTATCTTTGATTCCATTCCCCACAAACGTTTTGAAGTCTGCTGATACATGCTAGCCACCCCTACACCCCCCTGAGGAAGGCAGGGGCTCCCCTCCCCCACTGATTCCAACTCTAACCCTCAGCTTTCTTTGGTTTGTTAGTATTCCGTGTGTGTGTATGAGTGTGTGTCTGTATGTGTGTGAGTCTGTGTGTGTCTGTGTGTGTCTGTGCCTGTGTGTGTGTGTGTCTGTGTCTGTGTGTCTGTGTCTGTGTCTGTGTGTGTGCATGTGTGTGAGTGTGTGTGTGAGTGTGTGTCTGTGTGTTTGTGTGTGTCTGTATGTGTGTCTGTGTGTGTGACTGTGTGTGTGTGTCTGTGTGTGTATGTGTGTCTGTGTGTGTATGTGTGTGTGTCTGTGTGTGAATGTGTGTGTAAGTGTGTGTTTGTGTGTATGAGTGTGTGTATGTGTGTGAGTCTGTGTGTGTCTGTGTCTGTGTGTTTGTGTGTGAGGGTCTGTGTGTGTGTGTGTGTCTGTATGTGTGTGAGTGTGTGTCTGTATGTGTGTGTGTCTGTGTGTGAGTGTGTGTGTCTGTGTCTGTGTGTTTGTGTGTGAGGGTCTGTGTGTAAGTGTGTGTGTGAGTGTGTGTGTGTGAGGGTCTGTGTGTGTGTCTGTGTGTGTGTCTGTGTGTGTGTGTCTGTGTGTGTGTGTGTTTGCTTCCTAAACTTCATCCTTGCAGACCAGGTTCTCTACTTCTGCATCAAATAATTGACCTGCAGGAAGTTGTATAAAACATTTACCTGTCTATGTACTTGAGAGACAGGAGAACACACATCCACTGGTTCGCTTCCCAAATGCCCATAATGGCCTGGGCTGAGCCAAGGCAAAGGTGGGAGCGGGGAACTGAACCCAGGTCTCCCACATGGGTGGCAGGGACCCTGCCCTTGGGCCGTCACCACTGCCTCCCAGGGTCGGGAGTGGGGCCAGGCCTCGAGTCCAGGTGCCGAGACACGGGATGAAGCCATCTTAGCCACTAGGCCAAATGCTCCCCAAAACCATTCTTTGTGGGTAGATGAATCTTCCTTTTCCTCATCAGCTCACCTGAGGCAGAGTGGCACCAGTGCTCTCACGACCACTCCCGGCTGCGCAGAGCTGCCCTGGAGGCCGGGCCTGGTTAGGAGGTCATTGCCCAGGCAGCCCTGGTCCCCCAGACTGGCACTCACTCAGCGCCAGCACCGTCCGGAGCCCAGCGGACAGCACTGAGGATAACGGACACGGTGCCTGCCTGCTGGAGTTCAGTGCGGGGCAGGCGTCCAGTTGAAGGAGTGACCGCACACAACAAATGAGGCGACTGGGATCATGGAAAGCGCCCTGGAGGACCCAGTGGGAATGGAGGAGAGGGCTCGCTGAGGAGGTCACGCTTGGCCAGGAGAGGAGGGAAGCGGACCAGGGGCCTTGCAGAGCTGCCCGGCGCAGGCCCCTCTGTGGGAGTGCGCAGCCTCGTGGCCAGCGGGGAGACACTTCCGCCTTTAACTCTCACACTCTCCTGAAGCAGATTGGCCCGTGAGGGGCCGGCGCCGTGGGGTAGTGGGCTAAGCCTCTACCTGCAGTGCCAGCATCCCATATAGTCGCTGGTTCGAGTCCCGGCTGCTCCACTTCCGATCCAGCTCCCTGCTGTGCCCTACGAAAGCAGTAGAAGATGGCCCAAGTCCTTGGGCCCCTGCACCTGCGTGGGAGACCTGGAGGAAGCTCCTGGCTTCAAATCTGCCCAGCTCTGGCCACTGCAGCCATTTGGGGAGTGAACCAGTGGATAGAAGACCTTTCTGCCTCTCCCTCTCTCTGTCTTTAACTCTATCACCCAAATAAATAAATATTTAAAAAATAAATATTTTAGAAAATAAATAAAAATTTTAAAACTGGCAGCAGAACGGCCAGAACAGAGCAGTGTGGGGAAGGCATAGACTCAGGCAGGTGTGGGAAGGGAGCCGGGCCGTGTCCCCCAGGGTCTGGCTGTTGATGGGACTTTTGAAAAAATTATAATTTATTTACTAGGCACAGAGAGAGATCCGTTGTTTGCTCACTCCCCAGATGCCTACAAGGAGTTAGGAGAGTACTCCACGTCTCCCACAGGATGGCAGGAACCAAGTCACCTGGGCCGTCTCTGCTGTCTCCCAGGAGCCTTCGCAGGGAGCCGGCACCAGGAGCTGGAGCCGGGCCTCGAACCCAAGCACGCTGATGTGGGACGTGAGCGTCTCGGCCCACCCCGGTCGGGGGGAGGTTCTTTTACTTGGAGAGGGATGGGAATCACAGGAGGGTCTAGGGGAAGGAGTGACGTGAGGGCCGCCACAGGGACTCAGCAGCTTCATCGTGGCCTTGAAGTTCAAGTTAGCCTCCAGGAGCCACAGCAGAGAGGCAGGCCAGGCGGGAGGCGTTACACTAGTTCAGGCGGAGAGACGACTACAGCCAGGACCAGGTGTGGGGAGAGCAGGAGGGCCTGGTGCACCTGGACCAGCTGTGGGCTCGCAGGAGGGCCTGGTGCAGCCCGGATGCAACGTGCTGTGCTGATGGATGAGCGATGTGTTGGGAAGAGGAGCGAGCGGGGTTTACAGGAGGGGGGGCCGGTGCAGGTGGAGCAGGCGAGCAGGGAGTAGGTGGGCTGAAGAAACCCTGAGGCAGGTGGCAGAGGAGGCCAGCAGAGTGTGCGGAGTTTGAGGATTGAAGGACAGGGATCTGGGTGCGGGAGTTGCGTGCAAGCTGGCGGAATTTTAAATCACGCGGCTGGGTGAGCCTGCCTAGGAAGTACGAGTCGCTAACAAGGAAGAGAGATCTGAGAACCGAGCCCTGGGGGCTTCAAAGTTCAGAGGCAGGGGAGGTGAGAAAGAAGAGGCAGAGGGACACAGAACGACCCGCCCGGGGTCGCAGTGACGCAGGCAGGGGGCCGACACTGGCAGGCAGCAGCGCAAGCGGGCCAGCCCCTGCCGACCTGCGCCACAGCCCCAGCCCCCGTGACCGACGGCCCAGGTGCTGCTCAAAGTGCACGAGCCCCTCCCCTTCCACGTAGTGGAAACCACAAGTTCCGCAGCTTAAACCAGCGCCAGCTGGACACGTCCCACACGACTGTAGGCTGAGTTCCCCCCAACAACCTCTAGCCTTTGCAGGACTGGAAGGATCAGCAGGGTCACTCTGGCCACTGGGTCCCCAGCCCGGTGCCGGGACTGCAGGCGCTCTGTCCAGACATTCGTTACAGCGGTATTTGCAGCGATGCGTGTTTACCTGGCACTGGTTCATCCTAACAGTCTCGGTGGCCCGGCTGCGGCCAGCAGCCCAGAGCAGAACCCTCGGTTGGGAGCAGACGCAGAAGGTGCCGCGGAGGTGATGGCACGGTTCCGGGTCAGTGTCACTGGCAGCGTTGCCGAAGCACCTTCCCGGGGCTCTTCCTTCTCCTTGCAGAAGTTCCTGGGGGGGAAGACACAGCTTGGAGGCCAGGGGGCCGTGGCGGGCGTTGGAGCCCTGCCTTAGTCTGGTCTTTGCTGCAAGTCACACGACATCACCGGCTGGGTCGGTTCTAAAGAGAAGTAGTCTCCTGTGGGTCAAAGTTCAGGTTCAAGGTTGAGGGGCATCTCTGGGGATGAGCTGTTTGCTGAGTGAGAGAGGCAGGGAGCGGGCCAGGGACTCGGCCAAACTGGCTTTGCTCTGGACCCAGTCTTGGGATAGCCCATTCATCTTTTAGCCTCACGACCCCGTTAATCCATTTGTGAAGAGCAAGCCTGAATCGCCCTTGAAGTCCTCCTGTCTCCTGAGGGGATCAAGTGAGTTTCAGAGGGGACACAGGGTGCGCAGACCACAGCCCAACTCCCGGGCAGCTTCAGCTTGCCAGGCTGACAAGGGAGATGTTACTGCCCCTACTTTCTTGGGAGAAAGCTAAGGATTAACTCTGGCCACGCTCTGTGCGCCTGCACTGCACGGCCTTAAAGTTCTGCCCAGTGCTGTGGCTCAGCAGGTTAAATCGTTGCCTGCATCCCATACCGGTTCAAATCCCAGCTGCTCTGCTTCCAAGCCAGCTCCTTGCTAATGCACCTGGGAAAACAGCAGAGGATGGCCCAAGATTAAAAAATAATAATAATAATAAAAATCCGCATAGTACATTTGCTCTTCTGTGTCTGGGGAGCGGCTTCCTGGGGGGCAGCCAAGCAGGGAAGCCCACAAGGATCCTAACCACGGAGAGAAAACCAAGGCCTCAATTTATTATTTTTTTTAATTTTTTGACAGGCAGAGTGGACAGTGAGAGAGAGAGACAGAGAGAAAGGTCTTCCTTTGCCGTTGGTTCACCCTCCAATGGCCGCCGCGGCCGGCGCACCGCACTGATCCAAAGCCAGGAGCCAGGTGCTTCTCCTGGTCTCCCATGTGGGTGCAGGGCCCAAGCACTTGGGCCATCCTCCACTGCACTCCCTGGCCACAGCAGAGAGCTGGACTGGAAGAGGGGCAACCGGGACAGAATCTGGCGCCCCGACTGGGATTAGAACCCGGTGTGCTGGCGCCGCAAGGCGGAGGATTATCCTAGTAAGCTGTGGTGCCGGCCGAAGGTCTCAATTTCTAACCAAAAGCTGAGCCAGACTCCCACTCAAAAGAAAAAAAAAAGAGAAAAACACCAAAAGAAAAGAAAAGAAAAGAAAAGAAAAGAAAAGAAAAGAAAAGAAAAGAAAAGAAAAGGTGGCCTGGCGAGGACCGGTGCTGTGGCATAGCAGGTGAAGCCTCTGTCTGCAGTGCCAACATCCGTTATGGGCGCGAGTTCTAGTCCCGGCTGCTCCACTTCCAATCCAGCTCCCTGCTGTGGCCTGGGAAAGCAGTGGAAGATGGCCCAAGTGCTTGGGCCCCTGCACCTGTGTGGGAGACCTGGAAGATACTCCTGGCCTCAGTCTGGCCCAGCCCTGGCCATTGAGGCCATTTGGGAGTGAACCAGTAGATGAAGACCTCTCTCTCTCTCTCTCTGCTTCTCTGTAACTCTGCCTTTCAAATAAATAAATAAATCTTAAAAATAAATACATAAATAAAGGCTGGAGACCTCTGGAAACCCAGTGCCTTCGCCTCACAGATGAGCGAGTGCCGGCCTGGGAGGCTGCGTCATGGGCCAGCGTCTGTGGCCACCTCGGCGGCCGGGAGCACCCACCCCGACTCTCCCATGACCCCCTCTGTGTGTGGGTCTGCAACCACCTGGACAAAGGGAGGCGCCCTATTCCCTGACGTCAGAGGGGCTTCTTCCCCCCACACCTCGTTTAACTTCTGTCCTCTCGCCGGGGCAGGACCTGACCCATTGCACGCTCTGTCACAGCTGCAGGCTGCAACACAACCTCTCCTCAAACTTCACCTGGGTCTCCTGGGATGTTTCCTCTTAGTACTTTTATTTTAATATTATTTACAAGTGATACTTTGGTGTTTGTCTCTTTTTTATTTATTTGAAAGGCACAGAGAGAGAGAAGAGAAATGTTCCCTCTTCTGCTTCACTCTCCAAATGGCCAAAAAACAGTCAGAGCTGGGCTGGTCCGAAGCCAGGAGCCAGGAGCCTCTTCCAGGTCTCCCATGCAGGTGCAGGGGCCCAAGCACTCGGGCCGTCTTCTGCCTTCCCAGGTGAATTAGCAGGAAGCTGGATAGGAAGAGGAGCAGCTGGGACTCGAATCTGCCTTCTTTCTTTCTTTCTTTCTTTCTTTTTTTTTTTTTTACAGGCAGAGTTAGACAGTGAGAGAGACAGAGAGAAAGGTCTTCCTTCCATTGGTTCAATCCCCAAATAGCTGCTACGACCGGTGCACCGCGCTGATCCGAAGCCAGGAGCCAGGTGCTTTTCCTGGTCTCCCATGCAGGTGCAGGGCCCGAGGACCTGGGCCATCCTCCACTGCACTCCCGGGCCACAGCAGAGAGCTGGCCTGGAAGAGGGGCAACCGGGACAGAATCTGGCGCCCGACCGGGACTAGAACCTGGGGTGCCAGTGCCGCAGGCGGAGGATTAGCTTAGTGAGCCGCGGCACCAGCCCAGCCCCAGTACTTTTGAAAAGTTTATTTGTTTATGCTTATTTATTTGACATGTAGAGTAACAGAGAAGGAGAGGGAGAGAGAGATCTTCCACTCACAGGTTCACTCCTCAAATACCCACAACAGCCAGGGTTGGACCAAGTACTTGAGCCACTACCTTCTGCCTCCCAGGAAGCAAATTAGCAGGCAGTGGGTTGGAAGGGGAGGAGCCGGGACTTGAACCAGGCACTTGGATTTGGGATACGGGTGCGCCAAGCTGCAGCTTAACCTGCTGCACCAGTGTCTGCCTCCCTTTTAGTCTTTTTTTTTTTTTTAACGTTTTTCACACACTTTTAAAAATCGCGACTACATCTCATAATCTGTTTTTGTAGGTTGCTTTTTTTTAAAACTTGATATCCTATTGTCAACATTTTCTTATGTCAGTAGAGACTCTAAAAACATGACTTTCGATGGATGATGATTTGTTAACTCATCTCCTAACTTTGCACGTGCTGGTCGCTTCTGATTTTTCTTCATTGTTTT